TTTTCCTTTCTCTCATTCATTTCCCAAATGTTTACAATGACTGGGCTGGTCTAGGCCATAGCCAGGAGCCTGGAGTTCCATCTGGGTCTCCCATGTGGGTGGCAGGGGCCCAAGTACTTGAGCCATCCTTTGCTGCTTTCTCAGGCACACTGGAAGGTAGCTGGATCAGAAGCTAAACAACCGTGTTCCTAAAGTTGTAATTGTGAAATGTATAACGTTTGTAAATGTAAAACTGCATAATTCCACATACATTCCCACGGAATTACTTCTAAGGGTACAGTTTAAAAACTTGTGATCGGACCCCAAATCCCCTTTAAGCTGGGTGATAAAAATAGCATTTTAAATCTTAAAGTAAGGGGCTGGGTTAACGCCCTGGCCTGAAGCGCAGGCATCCCATGTGGGTGCCATTTCTAGTCCCGGCTGCTCCTCTTCCAATCCAGCTCTCTGCTATGGCCTGGGAAAGCAGTACAAGATCGCCCAAGTCCTTGGGCCCCTGCACCCTTGTGGAGACCTGGAAGAAGCTCCTGGCTCCTGGCTTCAGATCAGTGCAGCTCCAGCTGTTGCGGCCAAATGGGGAGTGAACCATCTGATGGAAGACTTCTCTCTCTATCTCTCCTCTCTCTGTGTAGCTCTGACTTTCAAATAAATAAATAAATCTTTAAAAAAAAGTTAAAGTGATCATATAAAATAGGATTAAGTGTTTGGTAATAATAATAGAATTAAAAAGGAATGAGTGTTCCAACATGGGAAGTGGTCTACACATCAGACTCAGAATGACAATTGCTTTAAGTAGCACTCTGACCTCAGAAGCAGCCCTCAAAGGCATCCTGGTCTGGGTGAAAAGCCCATGAGAGCATTTCAGGCATGGAAGGCCAAAACACTGTGGCAAAAAGTATCCTACATTTAGGACCTCTGTGGGTGAGACTCTAGTGGAAAGAGTGGTAATCAAAAAAGGATGTACTTTTCTCTGAAGGGAACATCCACTTTGCTTATGGCCTTGTCTAAATACTGAAGGAGTTTGTGGATTCAGAAGGCTTCCATAGCCTTGGCAACTTGTGTTAAGAGCCTTGGGTGATCACTGATGTCATAGATAAGAGTATTGATTGTTAAATTAACAACAGGAGTCACTGTGCACAAACTTCCCATGCAGGAAGTAAAACTTGTTCTCAAAGATTTACCTCATTTTAGTATATTAAGTAGAGGATATTCTTATGTCCTATAAGCTATAGTTATGTCTAAGTGCTTGCAAAAGATATAGCATTCGTGGATTATTCTTCAGAGTTAATTAAGTTTCTCAAAAAAATGCTTAAAAATGAAAAAATTAAAAAATATAAATTAACCTCAAAGATTTACTTTCATTGAATTAAAAATATGTTTTCCTTATTGTAAAAATAATCCTTCTGGTGTTCTGTTGCACAGTAGGATAACAGTAGTTAACAATAACATTGTAGGGGCTGGTGCTGTGGAGCAGCGGGTTAACGGCCTGGCCTGAAGCGCCGGCATCCCGTATGGGCACCGGTTCTAGTCCTGGCTGCTCCACTTCCGATCCAGCTCTCTGCCATGGCCTGGAAAAGCAGTAGAAGATGGCCCAAGCCCTTGGGCCCCTGCACACCCACATGGGAGACCCAGAAGAAGCTCCTGTCTCCTGGCTTCAGATTGGTACAGCTCCAGCAGTTGCAGCCAATTGAGGAGTGAACCAGTGGATGGAAGACCTCCCTCCCTCTCTCTCTCTCTCTCTCTCTCTCTCTCTGCCTCTCCTCTCTTCTGACTTTCAAATAAATAATAAATAAATCTTTAAAAAAAAAAAAAAACAAAAAAAACCAATAACATTGTATATTTCTTTTTTATTTTTATTTATTTATTTATTTATTTTTTGACAGGCAGAGTGGACAGTGAGAGAGAGAGACAGAGAGAAAGGTCTTCCTTTGCCGTTGGTTCACCCTCCAATGGCCTCCGCGGCCGGCGCGCTGCGGCCGGCGCACCACGCTGATCCGATGGCAGGAGCCAGGAGCCAGGTACTTATCCTGGTCTCCCATGGGGTACAGGGCCCAAGCACTTGCGCCATCCTCCACTGCACTCCCTGGCCACAGCAGAGAGCTGGTCTGGAAGAGGGGCAACCGGGACAGAATCCGGCGCCCCAACCGGGACTAGAACCCGGTGTGCCGGCGCTGCAAGGCGGAGGATTATCCTAATGAGCCACGGCGCTGGCATTGTATATTTCTAAATAGCTAGAAGAAAGACTTTTGAATGTTTACACTACAAAGAAATCTTGAATATATGAAGTGATGGATGTTAATTATCCTAATTTGATCATTAAAATGTATGCACGCATGGACATATTACATATTGCCCCATAAATATGTACAATTATTGTGTGCCAATAAAAAATAATCTAATAAATTTTTTTTTAAAAAAAGCTAAGCAGCTGGAACCTGAACCAGTGCTCCAGTATGGGATGCCAGCATTGCAGGCAGCAGTTTAGCTCACTGTGCCACAATGCCAGCCCCAGGAATATGTCAACCACTCAATTTCTTCACCTCAAAAATGGGGACAATAATAGTACTTACCTCACAGATTTGTTGGGGAAATTTAAAAATTAAATTTTAGACATGTAAAGCAGTAAGGACTATACCTGGCACAACTGATGTGGGTTGTCATCATCATCATTATTTTTGTTTTCATCATTGTTATATGAACTGGCTATTGGTGAAATCTATCATTTTCTAAGCTCTCCAGATTCCTCAGCAACTAAATTCATCATCTTGCCCCCAAGTCTCCTGAGACTACTTTCCTATTTCTGCAGATGGTGCCAACCCCTGCATTCCAGCTATCCGGGTACAAAACCTCACATCTCCTTTGACTCTGTCCTGCCCACCTCCATTCAGCTGCCTATTTGTTTGTTGTCTACTTCCCCATGCTACAATTCGTACTTTCCTTTCCACTCAGAATCTCATAAACTCTTTTCTCGCAATGTAGCTGAAAGGGGGGGGGTGAGGTTTCTGTGGTCCCAGCCCTACAACAGGAGCAGATGGGAGGACAGGATTGAGTATAAGGTAGACCTCAGTAGTGTGAGAGGCAGGACAAGGAAAGGACAGTGGGGAGAGGTCTCTGAGAAGGATCATGTCATATGTCAGAACCTTTCTGTATGTGCAATGCCTTTAGCCTTTATATGTTCCTCTATGGGTTCCACTCTGCATAGAGTGAAGGTTTTTTTTTTTTAATTTATGTATTTATTTATTTGAAAGGCAGAGATACAGAGAGAGAAGGAGAAGGGGGGGGGTGAGAGTAATGAGAATGAAACTTCTATCCACTGGTTCACTCCTCCAATGGCTGCACTGGCCAGGGCTGGACCAGGTCCAAGACAGGAGCTTCTTCCAGATCTCCCATGTGGGTGCAGGAGCACAAGCACTTGGGCCATCTTCTGCTGTTTTCCCAGGTGCATTAGCATGGAGCTGGATTGGACGTGGAGTAGCTGGAACTTGTACCGGTGCCCATATGGTATGCCAGCACTACAGGCAGAGGCTTGACCTTCTATGCCACAGTGCCAACCCCTAGAATGAAGGTTTTAGAGTAAATTGGGCCAATTGGAAAAAACTCAAGAAAGTATTTTACTCCAGTAACTGTTTTTATCTTTTTTTCCTTACATTTGGTGACCATCTCAGTATACATGGTGTATGGAACCATCATGCCCTTTCCTTAGCAAAGAGCTCCCAGTTTTGAAATGTCAGAAGACTGATACTATGCTTAATGAAAGTATTTGCTTTATTGATGAGCAAAACCTCAGGTTACCTTGGGAACATATTTGCCCTTCCTGTTACTATAAAAAGGGAGGCAGTGACTACAGTTGTGAAGCAACCTACATTTTACCTATTCTTTATGGTAAAAACATTCCATAGGGGAAATGCTATACTTTTTAATAATTTTGATCACTTAAGACTTCCTTTTCATAATAATCAAATAAAGTAAATCCAGTTTTCAAATGCTTATGGGTTTTTAAAGGATGAAAGCTGTTTCCATCCCTTTCTTCTCTACAGTGCCCAAAATAAGTGGACAGGTATTTGTTAGAACACACAAAGTGAATTGTTTCCATGTATAGGGTTTATGACTAAGGATATATTCTGTGTTAATATCCTCCATTGCAGATTGCCACCATAGTTTTACTGTATTGCTATCTAGGAAAGTGGAGTTGGGGCAGTTACTTCCATGATGATTTTTTAAAGATTTATTTATTTATTTGAAAGGCAGGTTTACAGAGAGGAGAGTCAGAGAGGTCTTCCATCTGCTGGTTCACTCCCCAATTGGCCACAACAGCTGGAGCTGCGCTGATCCTAAGCCAGGAGCTTCTTCTGGGTCTCCTATGTGGGTGCAGGGGTCCAAGGACTTGGGCCATCTTGTACTGCTTTCCCAGGCCATAGCAGAGAGCTGGATCAGAAGTGGAGCAGCCAGGACTTGAACTGGCATCCATATGGGATGTCAGTGCTGCAGGTGGTGTTTTTACCTGCTACGCCACAGCGCCAGCCCCCATAATGATTGTTTAAAAAAATTACCACTACTGTTAAAGCATTTAGTCATAGTCCTTCCTAGGGGAACAAATTATGCCCATTGGTGTTATCAAACACTTATGTGAAATTTATTAATTCTGTCTTTTGATAAAGAAATTAAAAACATGAGGATATTGCTATGAATTGCTACTGTTTTAGCAAAGTTGTACTAATGGAAATAGTGTTTATCATTTTCTAGCCTTTCCGCTTACCACTGTGATAAGATATGTTTGCTATAAAGAAGATTTTCTACTTGTCACATGCAGTATGGCTTACTACAGCAGGCTTTCTCACCTTTGGCACTGCCGATTTTGCAGGCTGGATGATTCTTTGTTAGTGGAGGCAGGACTGCCCTGTGAATCATAGGATGTTTAGGAGCATCTCTGGCCTCTACCCACTAGATGCCAGTCACACTACCCCCTAGCAGTTGTGACAGTTTGTTTTTTTATTTTTATTTTTGAAAATATGGAATACTTCACAAATTTGCATGTCATACATGTGCAGGGGCCATGCTAATCTCTATATCGTTCCAATTTTAGTATATGTGCTGCTGATGCAAGCACAGTTGTGACAGTTTAAAATGTCTACACAATCACTCCTGATTGACAACCATGTATTAGCGTAAAAGGATTGTGTACCATGCAATTTTTAGAGGCACCGGTCATTTAAAGCACTAGTTTTTGGTCAGCTGTAACAGAAATTTATGTGGTAACATTTAAGTGTGATAGTTTGGCTAATTTAAAATAAAGAGATGAATTCAAAACCTGATTACTCTGATAAACTGGCATACTTAAATAGCAGTAGCATATTGTTGTCCTCTGATGATGAGTTCTAAAGGTGAAAGGCAACATGCAGGATTTGAAAATGTGTATATCATCAGTTTTTCTCTTCTGGCAATGGAAAACAAGGTAAGGAGTAGTGACAGCCAGCCAGTTGTCAAGGCACATTGCACAGGCATAACTATAGTGCACAAAAAGTACTTTTCTTCTGTGTTGTTTTTGAATGTCAGGGACCTTTTCTGTTAAATAGCCAAAAAGAAAGCCTAGATATGTCCATAAACCTTGGCACTTCACTCCTGAAGGCCCCATTGTTATAAGAGAGGGAAGAGATGTATAATTTGGGGCATGCTCGGGCTGACTTGCCCCAATTGGTAGAGTTGGAAACATACTAGGGGATTCCAATTCAATCCCATCAAGGTGGCATGTGCCAATGCCATCTCACTATTCCAAGTGATCAATTTCAGTTCACAATTGATCATAATGAAAGGACTAAGAGTCAAAGGGAGCACATAAACAAGTCTAGTATCTGCTAACCAGAAACAAATATTAAATGTCCTCATTTTGTCTTTTGTCTTCAGCATCAATCTTTAATGTTATATTTTCAAAATAAGCTTTTGACCACTAGTGGCAATAAGTAGAACTTTGATTCCTTCTTTTGTTTTTCCAAGGAAGATTTTAGCAAGGGTGGGGCTAAATTCAGTTGGCAAGATTAGGGATATCTAAAAAACTGTTTAGAGCCTAGCTGACTGCCATGAATGATGTTGAGTAGCTTAAAAAGAATCTGTGCCAGGAAACTGCTTTTGCTCCAAGGCCTCAGTGTGTCCTTGAAGGTTGTTCTTATTTAAGGAATGTATTGTAGGAGCTGGCATTGTGGCATAGCAGGTAAAGCCTGCAACACCAGCATCCCACGTGGGCGCTAGTTCATGTCCTGGTTGCTCTGCTTCTGATCTAGCTCCCTGATAATGGCCTGGGAATGCAGTGGAGGATGGTCCAGGTCCCTGGGCACCTGACACCCACGTGGGAGACCCAGAAGAAGCTCCTGGCTCCCAGCTTCATTCCTGGCCCAGTGCTGACCATTGCAGCTGTCTGTAGAGTGAACCAATGGATGGGGAATCTCTCTCTCTCTCTCTCTCTCTTTGAAAATGAATGGATGAACCTTTTCTTAAAAAAATTGTATTGTAGCTGAGCTGAGGATGCTAGACACACAGGTCTACATAGTCCTGAGGTGAAGTGTAGTTCTTCTGGGTATACTTTTCAGAGAGAAATAGAACAGGGGTTGTAATTTTCAATATCAATCTTACTATGTCTCTAAATTACAATACAAAGAACCTCTTTATTTCTTTCTTTGGATTTTGTTTTAAAACTAAGGAATCCTAGAACTGAGGCCAGTGGTAGGAGGCACAGGCCTGATTGTCATACTAACTTGGATTCTGTGTCAGTAGCCTGGACAGCCGCCCCTCAACTCTTAACTGGGGCCATCTCTGATACTAGGCTGGAATTGCCTTGAACTGAAGTGGAGCAGCAGGGCCAGGAGGGTTAGTGGTTTGAGTTGCTCAGCAGTGGTTTAAGTTCAGATCTGGGCCCCAGAGAAATGGCAAGGAGGAGTGGTCAGCATGGCAATAAGGGACTGTCCTCAAGGAAGAGTTTTGAAGACTTTCCAACCCTGTAACAATGAGGATGGCGGGACCCCATGCTAACATGAGCATGTCAAGTGTTCAGAAGCACTTGGAACAAGAACAAAATAAGGAATTTGAGACAATAACCTCTCCGGTTGCCTTGCTCATACTCGGGAGTGCAGCCATACTTATTATAGGAACTAGGGATGTTATAGCCAGCTGGGTTGGGAGTAGCATGGAGATTGGCTAGACCCTTTGGGACCCTTTACATATCTTTTACTTTTTTTTTTTTTTTTTTTTTGACAGGCAGAGTAGACAGTGAGAGAGAGAGACAGAGAGAAATGTCTTCCTTTTGCCGTTGGTTCACCCTCCAAAGGCTGCCGCGGCCGGCCCATCGCGCTGATCCGAAGCCAGGAGCCAGGTGCTTCTCCTGGTCTCCCATGTGGTGCAAGGCCCAAGCACTTGGGCCATCCTCCACTGCACTCCCTGGCCACAGGAGAGAGCTGGCCTGGAAGAGGGGCAACCGGGACAGAATCCAGCGCCCCGACCGGGACTGGAACCCGGTGTACCGGCGTCACAAGGCGGAGGATTAGCCTAGTGAGCCACGGCGCCGGCATATCTTTTACTTTCATGGTCATTAAACATACACAAAAGCCTGAAAAAAAATCAAATGACACTATTAACAATGGGAATGCTACAGTAATTTCTCTTTAGCAGCTATTACCTGCTAGATTCTGTCCACAGTTTCAGAGCAATGTTCCCAAGTTTCCTGTGTGTTGTTGCTGAAAAAAGCAAATAATCAAAGTTATCTTTTCCATGTGTCTGAACCTTTTTCCAGAAGCCCAAGGCCTTTCTAAGTCTCATCTTGGAATGGTGACTTAGAGGCTTGTATTTTTCACATGACACACTGTAAGCAACTATTTTCCCTAGAAAGCAGCCTCTGCCTCACCACTGAAGGAAAATACTGGGTGGGTTAGGGTTAGCAATAATGATGTCTAACATTTGGTGGTCAGTGACTGTGTAGCAGACTGTGTTATGAGCAGTGCACACACACTCCCCCCAAACCCCATTAGTGCTCCTTCCAGTCCAGTCAGTAAGACTGGAGCTCAGTCCGTCTGGCTCCGGAGCGTCTGCTCCCAGGCACTGAACTCAGCTGCCTTCTCTCTACCTGCTGGGGCCTGGGAGGGCTTTTTTTTTCCACCAAAGAAACCTTTTATTTAAGGAATACAGACTTCATGCATTTCGTAAGTACAAGTTTAGGAATATAGTGATTCTTCCCACAATACCCGCCGTCCCACCCCTCCTCCTCTTCCCTATCCCATTCCCAGTAAGATCCATTTTCAATTAACTTCCTACACAGAAGACCAACTCTATACTAAGTAAAGAGTTCAACAATTTGCATGGGGAAAAAAAACTGTTCCTCAACAGTCAAGACAAGGGCTGTTCAGTCATTGCATTGGCAGCATTTGGGAATGTCTGCAGTACTATCCAATTTCCTGCCCTTTGGAAGTGTCATGGCATCAAGTGCATGATGGGAGAATATGTGTCAGTCATGATATTTTCATATAGTAACCTTTTGGTTAGTTAAAGGTCACTGCAGGGATGCTGGAGCTGATTCCAAGTGGCAGAACCATGGGCATTTTACTTTTCCATTGCATGGAAAGGTGGGGGGTTGGGTGGTGCAGACAGAACTGCAGTGCGTGCAGGGCTGCAAGGAAGAGCACATACTCTGCTGTGTGACCTGAGCATCTTGACCTCTCATCTAGAGATTTCGATTATAGTTGGATTAGGTGTTCTGTCATAGGGCCAGTTACTGTAGTGAAGAATATTGAAGTATGTGGGAATCAAGAAAATAAAAGAGTTTGATACTGTAACGGCACACTTGTATGTGTCATTAACTACTTGAGAGAGAGCATGAATGAATTCCTTGTTTCTTTTGGTTTTAGCTGCTTATCTGTAAACAAGGTCTGGGCTAATTGCTCTATAATACTCCTTCAAGTTTTAGTGTGTTTGATGTAGTAGTGATTTCTGATGTCACCTTTTTCAGCTGCAATGTATAATTTGTTAATAAAAAAGGGATTTTGTAATTTAAAAAAAGTCACTGCATCTTGAAATTAATTTCACTTCTTTTTTTTAGAAACTTACTTAAATTTATTTTTAAAGATTTATTTATTTATTTGAAAGAGTTACACAGAGAGAGAAGGAGAGGCAGAGAGAGAGAGGTCTTCCATCTGCTGGTTCACTCCCCAACTGGCCGCAATGGCCAGAGATGTGTCGATCCAAGGTAAGAAGCCAGGAGCTTCTTCCAGGTCTCCCACGTGGGTGCAGGGGCCCAAGGACTTCGGCCATTTTCTGCTGCTTTCCCAGGTCATAGCAGAAAGCTGGAATGGAAGTGGAGCAGTCGGGTCTTGAACTAGTGCCCATATGGGATGCCAGCACTGCAGGTGGCGGCTTTACCTGCTATGCTATAGTGCCAGCCCCAGAAACTTAATTAACTTTAAAGAGGTACCCGAGAATGATACATCTTTTGTGAGCACTTAGACATTATTATATTACAACTCTTGGAGGACAGAGGTCCTGTATGGGAAGTTAGTGTGCAGTGACTCCTGTTGTTAATTTAACAATCAACACTCTTGTATGACATCAGTGATCACCCAAGGCTCTTAACATAAGTTGCCTAGGCTATGGAAGCATTTTGAATCCACAGACTCCTTCAGTATTTAGACAAGGCCATAAGCAGAGTGGAAGTTCTCTCTTCCCTTCAGAAAAAAGTGCCTCCTTCTTTGGTGACCACTTCTTTCTGGGAGGGCTTTTCACAGGTCATGCTGTCCGCACGATTAGAGCCCTGCATCATGTAAGGCTCCAGATGCTCACACCAAAGCCCCATGTGTTGGAGCATTCCCATCTCAAGAGGACCTCAGGCCACGTTTGACTGCTTGGCCCTGTATGCTCTGTCCATGGCCGAAACCTCTGTATTTGCTCTGCTGTCCATATTCACTCCTTAATTGATAGCAGCCCAGCTTGCCTGCTTTTTGTGATCATCCCCAACAGAATAGGTAGAGTCCAAATTCTTGTAGCTGAAGAACAGGCATGCGGAAATAATTCTTTGATGACCATAAACATAGAGAGCAAGGGAATCAGGAGGTAGAAGAGAGATGACCTTAGAAC